TCACTGCCAGCTAGTCCTTCACCGATGTCAGCATAACGCCATCATCCTGTTGCCAGGTTCACACTGAGGCGCAGCCCCCCCCCCCCCCCCCCCCGTTCTTCCAGCCAGGTCTACGTCGAGGCGTCAGCATAATGCTCGCTCCTTCTCTCCGCCAGATGTACGCTGAGCCTTCTTCACATTGCCTGCCCACTCTCTGCTAGGCTCCCACGAAGTGTGATCGAAGTATTATAACCAGGTTCACCTCTAGCTGTCTTCAGAAGCAATGACATGCATCATTTTAGTTGCAGATGACCCAGACAAACCCTCCATGGACTGGGGTGGGCGGCACGATCGTAAATGGCCAGCCCGAAGATGTGGAGAGTGCACTTGTAGTAAGGACGATTATACACACCATGACCCAGCATGGCCCCAGGCTCAGTCTATGGACAAATAAAACAATGTGGAATCTCTGAAGCAAAAACTGCAAGCCAAAGCTTCGACCATCAATAATTTACGCTGCAAGGGGAGAGGAGAGCGCCGGAGGAATGACACTTAGACAGAAGTGGGCTGAAGTGAACACCGACAAGGCTATACCGTACATGACGGCCATCCTGCCACACAGGATGTTGGTGTTCACCCAAATCCAGCTAGTCTAGCTGCATTAGGGTGAACCAGCGCTACTATGTTGCCGCTACTCCGACATGGCCGGTAGAAAGTTTGTCACTATACTACCAGAGTGCGCGTGCATACCGCCAAACGAGGCCCCGGCTTGGACTTCCAAGTCCAAGAGTCTTAAGAAAGAAAATGATGTTTTAGATTTTTAATTTTTTAGATTAAGCATTTAGATGCTTACAGGTTTTCACGCGTCTGTCACTATCTTCCTGCAACAGAAGCTGAAAGAAGCTCCCGCCAATGACAGGATGGTTGCTATCTCTTTCGATGAGATGCAGCTCAAATATAAGCTAACGTATCTACGTGGTGAAGATATGGCTGAAGGCTTCGAATGTTATGGACAGTTTGGTGGCACAAACCGTCTTGCTGACCATTCATTGACCTTCCTGGTGCGGGGCATAAAATCCATGTGGAAGCAGCCTGTGGGGGCTTTCTTAAGTGCTAGTACGTCAGCTGCAGTGCTGGAAGAGCTACTTGTGACCTGCATCCGGAAGGTGCCAGAAGCCAACCTAAAAATGATCAGCGATGTGTGCGACATCGGCAAATCAAACCAATAACTCCACAAAAAGGCCCGGAGTCACTGGAGACATCCCGGTAATAATGTTGATGGTATTCCAGTAGTGGCCATGTATGACCCACCACATTTGATTAAATGCATCAGAAACTGTCTGCTTCGTCAAAACATCGGTGTGGACAAGGTCATCATGAGCTTACGCCATATTAAGGCGTTCTTCCAGATGGACAGTCAGTGAGCAGTCTCGGCAGCACCAAAGCTGAAAAGGAGATACTCCTTCCTGGAGCCAGTTCAGAAAATGCAAGTAAGGCTCGCCACCGAAATCCAGCCGAGTTGTGTCCAGCGAAATGCATCTGCATGATGACTTATGGTGGTACCCTTTGGTATTCTGAAAACTGAGGATGGAAAACGACACCAGGGCATAAACGTGACGCTACATTTTTTCCACAACATGGGGTTATCTTGAAAAGTTGTCTGATACCTGATACCTTTGATTTCATGTCTATGATAGTTTCACGACGCAATAATACGTCTATTCACTCTTTGTCCGCAGGAAGGATTATGGCTCTGGATAAAGTTTATTCGGAATTCCACGACCAAGAGATATAAACACAGCATAATGGTGTTTTTCTCATATATATATATATATATATATATATATATATATATATATATATATATATATGTATATATGTATATACATATGTGCATATGTATGGGTTTTGAACTGAAACAGCCATCTTGAAGACATTTCGGTGCTGTTCACAATCTTGCCCTTCTTAAGACCTGAGACCCTCTAGTTTCTGAGCTACCACCCGTGAAAGTGGGGAAATGTCTATCAGAGAGTGTTTCAAGGTCACCTTGGCATTTATGACGTCACAAAAAGTCGTTCAAACTCTGCCAGTCCATAGGCCATGCAACGATCAGAGCCAATAACAATATAATTGTTGAGGCGTTCATTTGTGGCGATGAGGCGTTCGTGAGCGCGATTTCCAAATATAACAGACGTTAATTCGCTCTTGGTCAATATCGCGCAAGGTAAGATGACGTACTCAAATCGTGTCGCATTGAGGAGCATATTTACTTAAGAGAGAATTGTGCTGTCCTGAGCATTCTTTTCCGCTTACGAAGTACAAAAATAGTTGTAAGTGAGGTAATTTCTTCACATCTGATGCTTGTTTCAATATCTTCAAATGAGAAGCATTCCTTTATTGTCTGTAAGACTTTTGGAGCAAGCGAGTCTGGGAATAGCTGACGGACTTCTCCGCCTCAACAACTGTTCGATGAATTGAACAGCCGGCCTGTCCACCAGTGCCGGAGTAAGCGGGACCTGTCAGCCTCAACGGAAGGCAAACACATGCGTGTGTTACATGAAACCGAAGAGCGGTTGTAGCGCTGGGCTTCACCTGGCCCATCCCAGGCCGATAGCAAAAGAGGACTCGTGCGGATCACAAATCCCGTCCAGAAAGCTTGGGGATGTATTAAGGTGGTCAGACCACTTTGCACCCGCAGGCTCAATCAGGACGCGCTTGAAAACTTTTTCGGCGTCAATCCTCAGGCCAGTGGAGGCAATTACTACCCCACGTACCCCACACACTTCAAGCAGACCTACCGCAAAGGTCCACTCAACAGTGCCTTGCGGCCCTGTACACGAAATTGCGAGCCAGACGCGGATGGGCTGCTTGCCGCCTTCACTCTGGTGACTGCTCGCACCTGTCTTCGAGCCGCAAGTGCGACCACGAATCTCGCCACCTGGCCGTGGACCCTGGTCACTTAGAGGGCGAAACGAGTGCAGATGCCGTGATGTCAAAGACTTTGACCTATATAGCGGACTATCTGTGGGGCAAGAGTGATCCTGCCCACCCTGTGCTCGCTGCTTAAGGCCCCTGCAATCTGCTGGGCGTGTAATGCTGTAATGACTACGAGGCGCTCGTTGCCTTAAAAACTTTACGGGCGATGATGCACTAGGCGTTGGTGCCTGAAGATTCCCAGTGATGAGCTCTTTGACCTGGTAAAACTTACTTATCTGACTGCGCAGCGTCGCGCAGGAGCCATAAAAGGTCCACGTCTTCTCAAACAGCTCCTGAGCGGCGCTCTAGCACACAGTTGTCAGCAAGTTCTAGCTCCCTCTTTTTGTGCGCAGAATGCGTTGGAACTAATGCTTGAAACTTTGGTGCGCCTTCTCATCCGTCGATACTACGGCGCGATGACCGGAGAGGCGAAGCTGAGCGGCAGGAATAAAAAGGGCCGAAAATACGTAAAGGTGTCGCAGCGATTGCAACCGTTCGGACCACGTACTGGCCCTGTCCAGGAAGCATTTAGTCCCCTATCGGCATTTGCGCCGTCGCATGCATGTTGTACCGCACCCGCTCGCATGTTGTACCGAACCCATCTCCATCAACGGTGTTTGTTCCGTGTATTTTAGCCGCTTCGTGCGCTCTATTGTGTGCGTATACGTCTGCGCTGGCCAATCGCCTGTCTCGTGTATGTGGTGATTCACGTGTAAAAACGCATATATTTGCAGTGACGTTATAGCTTCATCAATCTCCAAAGGTGTCAGCAGCTCTGAGAGGCCCTTTTAAAGATGTTTGTGACCTGAATTGCTGGATTAAATAAAGGTAAATTGGGGTCTAGGAGGGTATCTTAAACACTGTGTTGACAAACACTCAAAACCTAAAATGATAAGTTATAGTCTATTTTTGAGGAGCTTAATATTTCTTTCCACTCTGACACTGTTTCAACATTCAAAAGTCTACAGGAGTATCTTAAGCTGGCAATACCTGAAACTGGAAAGTCACATTAATACACCATTGATAGGGGGGCTTAAAATTCACCATCAGGGTTGTCAACAGTGGGCAAACAAGTGGCTTCAAGGGAAGGGTGTTAAAGACAGTGCTAAGTTATGATGACCTTCATGTTTTCAAAAAGCCATGCATTAACTAGCAGGTGTACAATTTCTACCCAAAGGGTCACCTACTACTGTCATCAGTGTGAACCACAAATTTCATCCCCTCCCAAACAAAATACCAACAGGTGGTGTTGCCTCTGCATGGTTGTACATAACGATGGATTTTGGGTGGAGTTGCCAGTTCATGATAGTCATTAATGATATGACTTTAAATATAGGTAGGGTTGCTGCTCCCTGGAGCATAAAAAATCACAGCTATTTTGACATTTTCTTCCTCCCAGTCCCAACCATAACACCCAATGGAAAGAACAGACCACAATGGCCATCAGGCTCTTTGATTATCACCTAGTGGTCCTACCCTTGGTTTGAATTCTGTTACAGTCATGGCATGCCGACACACATAGAAAGATATAAAGTGTAACTGTAGTGTAGGTTTCAGGTTTAATTACAAGATGGATAGATAAAACTAAGAAACCCACCCACCCACATCACTCATGATGATTGATATCAACCATTGCAAGTGAGATAAATCCACTTAAATATACCATGGAGCAGAAGTAAGAGAGATACTGAAACTTTTAGGTGTATGAAAATCAAAGCATTTTTGATGAGTGGGATCGCCCCAACCACACCAGTTTTTCTTACCTAAGCAGGCTAGCCTAAGAAGTTCATCCACTGCACAGAACACTTATGTTAATTGTAAGTGCTTACAATCATTTAAATGGCCCTAAAATAAGCTGGCTTGGCAATTAATAATCACTTCCAACAATGCAGTTTGTGGCATCCATGGACTAATCTTGGAGGTCTAAGATTTAGGTATGCAAACACTGAAGCTGCCCCAGGATGATTAAGCTACACCCAACACGCCTGGCATCACACGCTTTTCTTAGTCTTAGCCTGCGTATACGTGGTATCCAGCTCACTCACCTGACAGGCATCCCAATATTTCTATGGTTCCAAATGGGTCTACATCCCCCATGGCCATCCTGATAAAGTGGAAGCCAAAAGGGATAGATTATGTGTAGGCTTCTAACTTCTTCTAGATGCTTGCCACGCTATGAACACATTCGCCCAGTTTCCTCCAACACTTAAACTTATTTTCTCTGCTATCGATCTATTGATGAAAGCACTAGTTTCTCGAAACGAAAGGCACCTTCAATGGCGAATGTTACAAGCAAGTGTCCAATCATCAACAGACGCGCATTAGGTCACGCAAACCGTCATGTTCACACCCACAAACACTAAGCTGGATCGCGATGAGCAAAAGGCCCGAATCCCTCAGCTCCGCATCCCACGCTTAGCGTCCACCACATGCGCCGAAAGTAATGCGCGCTAAAATTGACTACTGTCATCGAGCGCGCCACTATCCATCGTGATGTTTTTCACCAGTTCTCGCAACATGTTGTATTTTTCAGAATTTTTTTAAGAAATATGTTCAACTTCTTTTCTAAACGTGACTGAATGAATACCATAGCTTTTAACCAATACTGAGTCCCATTTCATTATCGTTTTTGTAATAGGCTTTTAAAAATGGTGTGGGCTTAAATCCAAAATTTTGAATAAAAGAGTGCGATTTCTCGTTAACTTTATGAATGAATCCATCTTGTATCTGGAGCTATATGAAAGCAAGACATCGCGAGGAGCAATTTTTGTTTCATCCTTATCGATAAATATGAAGCATGCCCGGCGGTCACTACTGACTCTCGAAGACCTCTTGGTGATTAGGGAGGCAGATGATAGCGTTGAAGTGTGTCTGGGGTGTGTATAGCTGGGAAGTAGGAATTAGGGCGGAATGGCGAAGACATATGACTATTTGTTCAAGCTCTTATTGATTGGTGACTCTGGCGTAGGGAAGACTTGTGTTCTTTTCAGGTTTTCGGAAGATGCATTCAACTCGACCTTCATTTCAACAATTGGTAATTCTGACGTCTGGTTGCCTATCGGCCCATTTCCATCGCAGTGCAATTTGGCTTGTGCTTTTTTAATTTTGTCTACTTATGATAAACTTTTGTATTATGCCTCGTTTTGTGTGGTTGTCCATGACGATCAAAAGTTTGTGGGATCCAATTGTCCAGTCTGCAAAAATGTGCATGCTATGCTGATAATGCCCAGGGTGGATAATGACCAGATTGGTCTGTATCAAGAAGTTCTGCACATGCATTCTAGAAATATAAATCCACAATGTTGGGTGCACAGTTGCTACTAGTTACAATCCAGACTTAGGGTAATACGTATTGTAACCTTTCACCATGTCGCAATATTATGCTAAGCATGTCTGACATAACAGCAATGTCCCAGCAACAAATTACATGGATATATAGTAAATCTGAGAGCTGCAAGTTAAGGTAACAGTCACCACCAGTTTCAGTGTATAGGAGGTCAATACTTCTGGAAACTTGATGCTGAAAAGTGATGAAGGGCAGCTATGATATTGTTAAAGGAAAAATTATCTCACGATTCAATGCAATTTCGCTTGATCTAGGTTTGGCACATGCATGTCTCATATGTGACACACAAACATCATGCAGGCATTCAGGTACACAAATAAACAAACATCTCAATGGATGGATATTTTGCAGAGTATCCTTCTCAGAAGGGAGAGCCAATATGTCATGGATTTTGAGTGTTATAGGGTAAATTTTACATTGAAATCCATTTATTAAACTCAAACTTTATTTCTGTTTTAGCAGTACATTCATGCAAAACAAGCCAGCTTCATCTTTATTTAGCCTGCTGAGCTTTTCAAATAGGGTCATCATTTATCATTGCTTACCCTACTTCAAACCAAATGCATTGCTTGCTCTGATACACCTACATTAAATGCTAGCCCACTGGACAGGCACAACTTGAAAATGTATGGTTGTATTGGCTAGGTGCCCAAAGATAGGCATGCTTTTTCTAGATGCAGTACAACATAGCCATGGCATAAATTTGATCCCACCATCTAGCATAAACAGTGCCCCCCATTGCCTTTGTTACTGCCATATGTTGTAATTTTTCACAAATTTTGCATCAGCACCCATTGCTATCAGTTAACTGTCTAATCAACACAAATGTACAGTAGGTAGAGGTAATATAGGGTCCATCCATCTCTTCAAAGCTCAGTTAGAACCATTGTTAACACATGCTCAGTGGGAGTCAGTTTGCCCCCCCCCCCCCCAGAAGGTGTTCCAGAATGTTTTTTGAATGACATTGTATAACAACACTAGATTTGGCATAACTGTAGATAATTAAGTAGTGGATCATTGGATTTCAAAAATATTGATGTACCTTGTTAGATCACTCACCTAAGGCAGGTCAAAGTTAGACCATGGATTTAGCAAAGACAATTTGTAGTGAATCATTGAATCTAATGCAACAAAAGAGTCCTAATAAAGCCACATATCTCTGAGCCAACTTATTAGTCAACATTATCTTTGAATAAAGAAATTTCAATGATCTAGGTATGAGGGTCAGACCAGGGTTAAAACAACATTTTTTTTACTACTCTAAAGCTTGTTGCATCAGGTAGTTCCTGGTGTTCATTTCAAATTGATTGATAAGAGAAGCCAACTTATGCATCTTTCATGGACTTCTTAAAGACCAGGACAAGTCACTGAACTAAAATTACTCAGATTGCATTTAGTTTTAGGAACATACTACTTAGCACAATCTTTGATGCTTAGTCAAATACAAAACTCAGTGCAGTCTTGTATAATTTTGGTCACCATGACCTGCAGAAGGTTAAACAAGGGCACTGACCTTAACTGAGCACCAGTGTCTTTTGCTTGTAACAGGTAGCCAGCTTCTGGAGCACTTTGGACACCATTCTGGAGTTTGACCTTGTTTGACTTTATTTGACCCAATGTTCATCATACCCTAAGGACCCCAAATTTTGACAAGTGAGCTTGCATACCAGCCAACACACCCCATGAATATAGTGTCTCAAGCTCCCTTAGTTTCTGAGATCTCTGAGATCTCTGGGGTTAAATTGACCCCCAACCCATCTGAGTGAGGGGTATTCAACTGGCTGCCTGGGTGCATGTTAAGGTGTAGATTGAATGGACTGTAAATAGTGGACAGGTTGTATGGTTGTATTGGTTGTAATGGTTGTAATGGTTGGTTGACTGTAAATGGTTGACAGTGGTTTTGAATCAACGGTAAAAGGCGGACAGGGAAGTGGTTGTAATGGTTGGTTGGCCATAAATGGGTGACAGTGGTTTTGAATCGACAGTAAAAAGTGGACAGGGAAATGGTTGTAATAGTTGGTTGATGGTAAATGGTTGACAGTTGTTTTGAATTTGCTGTAAAAAGTGGATGGAAAATGGTTTCCTTCTCACAATTTATGAAGGCTCTGTTTGGGATATGACTGACTGTTATAATAATGCAACTAAATGTCACAAAAAGGTGAACTTCAAAGCTGCATCATTTTCCAAGTAAAATGACACTGCTCAGGCTACATAATCAGGCAAGGTCACTTGTGCCCACCTTGCCTTGGAACATATGCGCCATTTTGGATCTGGGTCCTTGCGTCCAATGCTCTGGTATGTTGGGAGACATTTCCAGCTCAGTACATGACAGTCACATTTTAAGTCATCTTGAAGGGATACAATTTCATGCCATATATCAAACAAAACCTTATCTCCCCGCTTTTTCAGACAACTGTTAGATAAAAAGTAGGTTACGGACACCATATGGCCAACATAGTCAGTGCGCCCCAAAGCCCAAGTCATCACCATCATCAGGCAAGGTCACTAACAGGCCTTTGATTATTTCCGTGCAGGGAAATTTGTGTCATTCAAGCAGAGGTTTTGGGAAGTGGTCATTAATTGCATTACATCCATCTTGCTGTTGTTTTTTGTCATGCATTTTGAGTATGACACAAACAGGAACAGGAGGTGTCAGAATCTGTATAGCTGAAGGTCTAAGATTGCTTGCATGGGTCAAGCAACCATCAGTATTTGTGAATACTATCTGTAAACTAGTTATCAGGAGACTAGGCATTTGTGTGGCCTTAACACAAGTTTTTGGTATTTGACATTCACTGAGCAAAGAAGTGGGTGCCCAATATGTGTCTGGATCCCATAGGAAACTATGTTAAGGGGTCGTGGGATATTTTGGGGCTTCCAGTAGCACACATGGTGGGTTTGATGCCAGAGTGACATCATTGAGAACATAAAGCAAATGGGAGCCCTGCTTCCCCCCCCCCCCCCCTAAGCCAATTAGGTTGCTTACTCTACAGCCTAATTTACAATCTACCCTTGGCAGGGTGGGTGCATGGGTGTAAGTCACTTCAAAACTTGCTGTTCACCGCTGCCTGAGATGGCCTGTGGTTTATGTCAATAGATTGTGGCTGGTGTCAGCAGCCTCTCAAGGCCAGGCGAGTTCACAGGGTAGGGTGTACTGTGCCCAGCACTGCAGCACATTATTCTTTGGCCCCAGAACTCTGCAGTTTAGCTGGACTTTCACAAGCAGATGGTGGGGTGAGGGCTCACACAAGCATGGCTTAGCATAAATTGTTATCCCAGAAATCCATTGAACTGAAATGCTCAGACTGAATTTATAAGGAACAAAAATAAACCGAATTAACATATTTTGACTTGGTTTGGTCTGAGATCATGTCAGTTTGCAGAGTTTTATTATCATTATTGTTTGTGGTATAAACATAACCATAAAGTCTTCCTGATTCATTGGCAAGAGATGGTGTCTTTGCTTTGTTATGTCATAACAATAGAAAAGTCAGCTTTTAGTATGCAAGTTTTTGCGTTTTTCAAGGACTTTCTACCCATGAATGTGCTTTGAATGCATTGAGAACATAGGTTTTGCTTAGGGCTTTTGCTTGGTGCAGACCCTGACCTGAGTTTATTACAATGTGTGCGAATTGGCATCATGGACTGGAATTAGAACAATAAGTGACAAGTGTTTTCCTTGGAGTCAAGCAGAGGCTTAATATGTCTGTCTTGCCCTGCCCTGCCACGCCTCCGCGCCTACGGTCGCTCGCTGCACAGGATTTGGGAGAAGGCTCACTCACTGTTGTTTTGGTGTCATTGTGCTTTAGTTGAGGACCTTGGCAACAGTGAGCTGCTGATATGGGCTGTATCTAACTATGCATTATAGTGCCGCCGCTGAATTACGAGCGACGTCGCTCGATGTTAAACCCTCAGCGATTGCCCTGAGCGGTCTGGATCGTTCCGGGGTCTGTGTGAAACGCTAAAACATATGATTGATCTTGAAGATCATGGGCTGCTTTGGGAGCTGGTGGACCGGATCGGACTCTTCCGTGGATTGATCGGCCCTATTGTAACTGTGATATTGGCGGCTCTCTGATCAACTGTGGGAGGGGCAGTGCCCTCCCCTCCCCATCGCCCTGCTATTCTCGAACACCGTGCCCCGTCACCGTGCCGCCTTCAAAACCCATGAGGGTGGGATGAGAGTATCCAGGAACTTAACTGCTCTGAGATATGAATGTGGACCAATCCCTGAGAGGGACGAAACGAGTTGAATAACCTTTTATGCACTTGCGTTTTACGTTTGCACTTTACGTTTTATGCACTGTATTTTTTTCTCGAAATGAGTGATCAAGAAGGAAACCGAAAAGACCGCAGTTACCTGACCAATATATGTATCGTATCACATTGTGCTGCATTACGTCGTATGGTATCGACGACTAGCCAGTGTAATTGTTGGTGCACTTATCTTTGTTTGTCAGAATGTTTGAAGACAGGTGGTTGCATGCCTACATATGCTAATATGGGTATGCAGCAGCAGGTCGCCGGGGAACTGCTCGTCGCATTGTGTGTGGGGGGGGGGGGGAACTGCTCGTCACACGCACACGCACACGCACACGTCTGCGTGTGCTGTGATCCATACCGTACTATGCGGATACAGAGAGCATTTTGTCGTGGTGATTGATAAGTATCTTTTAGATTAGCAGTTAGTATCATTTAATACAACATTGGTCAGTGCTAAAGGATCGGACGGGATGGGCGTGTGTGCATGGACGTAATGTACACATAATTGGCTCGTTTTTATTTTAACGCTTTCCCTCTCGCAGGCATTGACTTCAAGATTCGGACCATTGAGCTCGACGGAAAGAAGATAAAGCTACAGATATGGTGAGAAGGACTGCATGCTTGTCTGGCGTGCTGACGTTAAAGCAACATCCATTCGATGTGACGGCATCGGGGGTGTAGGAAGTGTCACCGCTACGTAGTCATGGGTGTCTCCCGCCAACTGGCGCTTCAAGCGACACGCGGAAAAGTGACCCCATAGCACGAGCACCTGGCTATTGTCTCCAGCGGCGACGTTATCTTTCCTTCCCGTGGGGTTTGTACAGCGTCGTCAATGACTGTTGCTCAGAGAATGGAAAATGCGCCCGACCAAGTGCTGCCTCCATGTGCGAGCATGCCCTCTGTGCCAACCGCCGGCAAGTACTGCTGGGTCTGCGCAGCTGCGTCCCCGCAGTCTGGGCGGCGCGGGGCGGAGAGCGTCCCACCTCCGCCGCAGGACGAGGACGCTCCACTGCCGCCGTGGGGCCGGTCGGCGTCCCGCCCAGTCCGCGGTCTGGGTGATGCGGGGCGGGGGAGTGTCCCACCACCGCGGCGGGGCTGGTCTGCATCCCGTCCAGTCCGCAGTCTGGGCGATACGGGGCGGGGGAGTGTCCCACCGCCGCGGCGGGGCCGGTCTGCATCCCGCCCAGTCCGCAGTCTGGGCGATGCGGGGCGGGGGAGCGTCCCACCGCCGCGGCGGGGCCGGTCTGCATCCCGCCCAGTCCGCAGTCTGGGCGATGCGGGGCGGGGGAATGTCCCACCGCCGCGGCGAGGCCGGTCTGCATCCCGCCCAGTCCGCAGTCTGGGCGATGCGGGGCGGGGGAGTGTCCCACCACCGCGGCGGGGCCGGTCTGCATCCCGCCCAGTCCGCAGTCTGGGCGATGCGTGGCGGGGGAGTGTCCCACCACCGCGGCGGAGCCGGTCGTGTCTGTCCGGTTGGCCATCGGCCGAATGTGCGGAGCGCCTCACAATATCCTACTTGTAGCTCATCTGACGTATAGAGCATTCCTGATAAAGGCACACCTTTCATGTGTCGAAGTTCAATCGATTGGAAGGAATTTATACACAGAAGACTTCATCTGCAGTTTGCGACTGCTCGTATCGTTTAAGTTGCTAACGGACTTAACTCATCACCAACATTGAGGAGCATTAGGTCGGCCTAGAAAACTTGCATTCACAATTTTGCAAGACATCTGTCTTCAATCCCTTCAAATCTCGAACAATTGATATCCAGTTTAACACTCCGTTGTTTGGCTGTAGCGCGTTAGACTAAAAACATCATGATAAAAGGCATCATGATAAAAGCACATTTAGCGCGAGCTTGTCTCGCATTAGACATTCTGTCTGGCAACAGCGCTTTAAACTAAAAAGATCTCACGAGGGGTACCACTACTGCAAGTCTACCATTAGGCCCATGCTAGGATCGAACTTTCGCAAAATTATCGCGGCATTGAGCGAAATCTGACAAAAACGAAAGTATGTCCTGAATTAGGAAACTACGCCACAGCTGTCATATATCTCACTCGGAAATATTTTTGGGAACGTCGAGCATATTCATTTGGAGCCGGAAACATCCCGTAAAAAGCGAAATATGTTTCAGCGTATGTGGTTTGTGTTTCACTCGAGGGGAGTTAGGTGTTGTCAGTTGTTCAGACTATTGATGCGCACGTTCCTGTCCCGCAATGTTGTGCATCGCAGAAGGAAAGCGTGTGCTATTAGTTCTACAGTGTAAAGTATCTTTTCTGCAGCATGTCTGCCATGACCCTGGTTCTGTCTCACCACTATGTCGTCGTCGTCACTGTGGCTTTACGACGCACTCAGCTGTTGGGCTATATGACGTCGCCTGCCTCTCACCCTGGCGGGAAGGGCGGGCATTGCGGGTGATCAAACCCCATACGTCTGGTTTCCCACACGCGCAGTAGTTAACGCAGATGCGTTAGCCACTACACCAATGACACCTTCTCACCACGTTCCGATTTTTTGAATATGTACGACCAAATTTGATTGTTTCTGGAGGACTGAACTGCAATTTAGAATACCGATATAAGAAAGGATGACCCCGTCTTCACGCACAAAACCTTCGTCAACGCATGCAGTGTCAAGCCCTGTAAGTCCTGCATGACCCACCTGTTTCGAATCACGACAAGAGAGATAGAGTGTGGGCGTCTTGCATGGCCTTTTCCAGGTTTGGCCAATGGTGCAGGATATTTTTTTTAAAGCTACTCTGTTCTGCTTTCCCGCTGGGCTGAACCAACAGTGATGCTTATTGCACCTCCTGTCCTCACAGATAACTCTGAGGTATTTGTCGGACGTACCCAGCCATCGCCTAAAATGGCATCGTGCACCGTCATGGCTATTGCTGTTGATAGATGACCCACTGGCGCATTCATCCCTGACCTCAACGGAAGACAGGCATTCAGTCATCTGCACTTACACGTGACCTGTCCACCATCGCTCTAGAATGTGGCGCTTGTTCGGCTCACCTCGTCGCCATGGTGTCTCGCGCGCTACCCCCGGCCCGCCCGCCGCGCCGGCCTCATTGGACCTAGTCGCACTCGTGTCGGCCGACCATCAGTCGGGCCGTCCAGCCGCGTGCGGCCGTCCCCGATCTGCAGGGCCTCCACGCCGGCTACTGGGGGAGGCGAGAGAGCACGCTGCGTGGCCTGCCCTCCGCGGACCGAGCCGACCAGCGCCCATGTCCAGCGGCAGAGATGGTCTGGCAGCGGCGTCAGGGCTCATTGGGAATGGCTCCGGACAAATGGGGTCGCGAACGGGGCCCTAGTCATCCTCGTAATCTGAATACGCTCATGTAATCGTTGCCATCATAATCGTAATGTGACGTCACCATTATAGTATTTATGATGATGCGGTGCCCGTGACGGAACGTCGCATGTGGCCAGTGGCGGCCGGGGCCTCCGCCGTCCCCGTGCTGTAATGGGGCCGGTGGCGGCGGCGCTCTATAGGAGGCAGCACTGCGTGTCTCGTGCCAAACCAGCCTCTGCCAGCCGTAACAGCGGATCGACATAAGATCAGTGCGTTGTCTGTTGTCGGTGTGCTTTAGGCTTGTTCATGATCGTCCCTTAGCCAGGCACGAGACGCAGGTACGTGCCCTGCACGCACGCTTTTTTTGTTTTTGTTTTTGTTTTTTGCTTTGTAGATGCAGCTTCTTCGGACCGCGTTATGATGGCTCACTGTTATCATACCACTGGTGTTTTGGCCTTGGATCAAGAGCAGGGTTTTAGGCGGAATGGCTAATGTTTTTGGACTTAGTTTTGACCATTGGCAGACTCAAACAGTGGTTGACTAATCTGGGAGCACATTGATTACGTCTGTTTATTGTTTGGGACGCTGGCAAGGATAGTAAGTGGCATTTACGCCAGGAAAATTATCATACAAGTAGGTTCTGGTAGAGAAACGTTTTGGGAATGAAAACCCAGACGCCTGAAAGGTCTGTTTTGCATTAGAATGCAGCCAGCTTCATAATATATAGGCAGAATTGTCCCAAAGTGATATTATTTTTCCCTTTGCAACTCCAGTCTGGTGAAAACAGGCCTTTCTTGTTTTGTCCGGGGAGGGCAGAACAGGGACATCGTCTTTAGGGCTCCACCTTCGCTTCCGCTTCCACCATCCACCCCAGGCGACGGGTGAACCTTCATACTACAACACGGTCACCATACTTACGTCAGTGTGAGGTATGCACGGTCTAGACACAAACAGACATTGATCCGGGATTTTCCGGTGCATTTTTCGGCGAACCAGTAGCTGCTGAGCATGATAGAGTGCAACTTATGACATGTAATCCATCGGAAGGGCGGCGTGCTTCTGTTCTGGCTTGCATGCCGCCCTCTCCCTCCCCCCCCCCCCCCCTCCCCCTCTGCGGCAACTGCAGCTGTACATAACACGATATCCCTCCCACTACAGCTCCCGTAGAGCCTGATAGATGAAAAGGAATTCGTAGATGCGACCAGATGAATCTTCTAGGCAGATGAGCCCTCAGCGAAAGCCCCCGCATAGCCGCGTTGAGCCCTGGATGGGGGCATACGGATGCAATCATAGGCTGTGTGAAGAGGCGGAAAGCGCCGAGCACGACCGCCTGGATTATTGATACGCCCAGAAGTCGTGTTCTTCGGTACTCTTGCACGCTGTTCTCAAGTTTGGTGGTTCCGATATGTCCGTCTGTTGTCGATTGGCACTGCTACTCCAAGCTGTTGTACGTATTGGCACTGCTACTCCAAGCTGTTGTACGTATTGGCACTGCCACTCCAAGCTGTTCTATCTGGTGGCGTCGCCACCGATGTCAGACAGTGTTTCGCCGAGGTTTTGAGACATTGGGAAGTTTATTCTAAAGAACCTGTCGTTGAACGTCGCTAAAGGTGGGTAAGCTCCAATGCTAACAGTATTCGGCCACACAATTAGCACACAATCCGATATCACTCAGGTAGTAATTCTGAGGTGGATATTCGTTGTCACCACTAGTGAGAAGTCGGTAGCGGAATTCATGTACTTAAATGAATGTCAGTCACTAGTCCTTTTTTGTGCTAAATTGTATGACCATTTTGATGAAAATCCAAGTATTTGCATATTGAGGAGAACGGGGAATTATTTTTGGTCTTGGATCACACTGTCATCAGGAGCATAGTTGTCTATTCAGCGTGGGGGGGGGGGGGGACTGTAGCCCCAACTGGGGCTTCAGGCCCCTAACTTAAGGCAGAAAGTAGGCCAAGTTTGTGGAGAAACCCATTTGTGGGCTTTTTTGGGGGTCAGTTTTTGTCAATTTGTTTGTCCCCCCCCCCCCTAAACTCATTTTGCGTAACTACGACCCCACTGTGCATGGATGGAAACGCTTGAGTGTGGGTGGGCGCCCCCATGTCAATGCGCTGGTATTGTAGTGGTAAGTCTGAGTGGTCCATAGCTTGGTGAAACAGTTCAAGAATCGGGTTTTGCTTTCCGCACACTACGCAGTTTTGTAAATCAAACATTATTCTCAATACACGGACTTGTGTTTATAACCTTACTGTTGTATCATTCTTTCACTGACATCCCCAATTTTACATTTGGTTTTCATCAGCCGTGCGTCCCCAAAACTGACATTGTGTTGGTGTCGGCGGCACCCGGCCTAAGCGCGTTTCTCCTGGTACGCCCAGCCGACATGTCGGCTTGAGCTGTCACATGTCGACGCCGTGGGTCCTACTGCCCGCCGCCCTGCGAGCTGTGTACCATGCGTGGCCGTGGTCCGGCGCTGATGGCTGTGTGCCACCCGTGGCCGTGGTCCGGCGCTGCTGGCTGTGTACCACCCGTGGCCGTGGTCCGGCGCTGCTGGCTGTGTGCCACCCGTGGCCGTGGTCCGGCTCTGCTGGCTGTGTACCACCCGTGCCGTGGCCGTGGTCCGCGCGCTGGCTGTGTACACCCGTGGCCTGGTCCGGCGCTGCTGGCTGTGTACCACCCGTGGCCATGATCCAGCTCTGCGAGCTGTACCACCCGTGGCTGTGGTCCGGCGCTGCTGCCTGTGTACCACCCGTGGCCGTGGTCCGGCGCTGCGAGCTGTACCACCCGTAGCCGTGGTCCAGCGCTGCTGGCTGTGTTTTACCTGTGGCTGTGGTCCGGGGCTGCTGGCAGTTGTCCACCCGTGGCCGTGATCCGGCGCGACGCTATCTCTGTTGTCTGCTGCAGACTTTGGATGGACAGATGGTGGGCGACCGTCATCCGGTATCGGCCGTTTAAAGGTCCCCAGCGAACCTGACTTATTGCCACCCAACGCCGTCCGGGCGCTGCTTAAATGAGGAACGCCCGCAGAGCCGCCGGCTGCCACGTGCTGGATATTCACGGTCGGCTGGCAAAACGTGCACTTTTGGTCTTCTGCAGCTTTGCGGAAGAGTTTCTGATTTGCCTGACAGCTAGGCCGAAATATTCGGTCCAAGCACAGCGTCGGTTTAAAACTTGGGTTGGATTAGGTGAGCAGCTGGATTATTTGCATGTAAATGTGTCCGTCGAGTTCTGGACAGCTCTTGTCAACGGTGGTCGCAAGTCTTGACTCGAAACGTTCTGTCTCACTGTATTGCGTAACACTGTTGGCTCTTAATGGCAGTCATCATACGCTCTAAGTTTGTAACGTCGGCTTGTAATGTAGCGTCTGGTTCCTAACGCACTTCATACGGGAGGCACCGCACCAGAGCGGTGACCAAGGGTCTGAGGCGCGCGCCATTTATTCGGTCTGGTGGTTCCCGGGCTACAGTGGAGCAGTATAATTTCCGTGCCTCTGCGGGGTCTCGTGTGGCCCGCACTCAGACCTGTGCATGCTCCTCCGGGTCAGGTTGGCGCAGCCTGTCTGCCGTCGCACCGCATCACATGGTGAATGATGCACCTGGCGTTTGTCCCTTGTGCCGATTGGTCCATCGCTGCGCCGGTACCCGTGCGCTACGACGCGGTCCGTACTGCGATGAGCTGCACGTCGTCTGACCAGTGACCAGACGGGCCGCAGACGGGAGATCCGCCGTCCGGTCTTTGACCACGCGGCGGCTGCCATGTAACCAGTCAGTCACCAGCGGAGGTCCGCCGATCGGTCTGTGACTAGGCGGCGGCTACCATGTGACCAGCGACCAGCGGAGGTCTGCCGCTGGGTCTGTGACCAGGCGGCGGCTGTCGTGTGGCCAGTGACCAGCAGAGGTCTGCCGCTGGGTCTGTGACCAGGCGGCGGCTGCCATGTGACCAGTGACAAACGGAGGTCTGCCGCTCGGTCTGTGACCAGACGGCGGCTGCCATGTGACCAGTCACCAGCGGAGGTCTGCCGCTGGGTCTGTGACCAGGCGGCGGCTGCCATGTGGCCAGTGACCAGCGGAGGAGTCTTCAACTGCCCCATGACCGGCTTCGAGTCGAAAGACGTGCACGTGACTGGTGACCTCCACGCCTGTTGCAGGGACACAGCCGGTCAGGAGCGGTTTCGCACCATCACAACGGCCTACTACCGCGGCGCCATGGGCATCCTTCTGGTGTATGACATCACCAGTGACAAGTCTTTCGACAACATCAAAAACTGGATCCGCAACATCGAAGAGCATGCGTCCGCGGATGTCGAGAAGATGATCCTGGGCAACAAGTGTGACATGAACGAGAAGCGGCAGGTGGGTTTGGCCTGCAGTCCCGTGGGCCGGTCGCCAGACGGCGACCGCGCCTGTCGTATCATGTCCTGTCCTGTCCTGTATTCTCTCTTCCCGTTCCGTTCTGTCCCGTCCCGTCCCGTCCCGTCCCGTCCCGTCCCGTCCCGTCCCGTCCCGTCCCGTCCCGTCCCGTCCTGGCTTGTTTTGTCTTATCTTGTCTTGGTCTTGTCTTGTCTTGTCATGTCATGTCATGTCATGTCATGTCATGTCATGTCATGTCATGTCATGTCATGTCATGTCATGTCATGTCATGTCATGTCATGTCATGTCATGTCATGTCCTGTCCTGTCCTGTCCTGTCCTGTCCTGTCCTGTCCTGTCCTGTCCTGTCCTGTCCTGTCCTGCATCGTCCCGTCTTTCAGGCTGCTGGCAGTGTTTGCCCAACGGAGCAGTCTGTAAACATCTCCTCGGTGGGGTGCCAGGCTCGAGGATGAAGACAATTAGCGCCCTGATCAGGCAGCTTCCCTTCGAATTCCTCAGTTGTCGAGCAGAATCTGTCCACCCGGGAGGGATCGGTGGCTGGCGCCGGGCGCAGTGTGGCGAGTCCTCGGCTGTCGAGCAGTATCTGTCCACCCGGGAGGGATCGGTGGCTAGCGCCGGGCGCAATGTGGTGAGCCCTCGGCTGTCGAGCAGCGTCTGTCCACCCGGGAGGGATCGGTGGCTGGCGCCGGGCGCAATGTGGTGAGTCCTCGGCTGTCGAGCACAGTATCTGTCTACCCGGAAAGAATCGGTGGCTGGCGCCGGACGGAGTGCGGTGGGTTCTCGGCTGTAGAGCACAGTATCTGTTCATCCGAGAGGGATTGGTGGCTGGCGCCGGGCGCAGTGTAGTGAGCCCTCGACTGTCGAGCAGTATCTGTCCACCCGGGAGGGATCGGTGGATGGCGCCGGGCGGAGTGTGGCAAGTCCTCGGCTGTCAAGCAGAGTGTTTGTCCACCCGGGAGGGATCGGTGGATGGCGCCGGGCGGAGTGTGGCAAGTCCTCGGCTGTTAAGCTGAGTGTCTGTCTACCCGGGAGGGATCGGTGGATGGCGCCGGGTGGAGTGTGGCGTGTCCCCGGCTGTTAAGCTGAGTGTCTGTCTACCCGGAAGGGATCGGTGGCTGGTGTCGGGCGGAGTGTGGCGGGTCCTCGGCTGTTTAGCTGAGTGTCTGTCTACCCGGGAGGGATCGGTGGCTGGTGCCGGGCGGAGTGTGGCGGGCGCCGGTGACGGCGTTAGTAGGCGGTTCCGCGGTCCGACCGGCCTGCTGAGGACTCCTCTCCGCCGCCAGGTATCGAGGGAACGCGGTGAGCAGCTGGCCAACGAGTACGGCATCAAGTTTCTCGAGACGTCCGCAAAGTCTTCCATCAACGTGGAGGAAGCGTTCTTCACCCTGGCCAGAGACATCAAGTCGAAAATGGAGAAGAAATTGGTGAGTGGGGACAAAGCTCTTGTAATGGGCGGCACGCATGGACTGCATATTTGCTCATCATGGAACTCAATGGCTATAACAATAAGACCGTTACAGTAATCGTCACCAACACATGAGTTTGTTGAAATTGATCATTAACAAATACTGCAAAGTGGTCGATGGGTTGTGCGGAAGACGGCGATACCCTTGGGCTCCATGCATGGAGGTGATTGGATTACGCTCTATGGGCCGTTTTCAGTGGCGTTCCTGGCGCTGGCAGCTCGATTTGCACTTCGCTTCTCCTTTTCTACCACACGGACTGAGGATCATTCTCTATGGTCCGACATGAAGCGGGACAAGTTACTGGTCGGCGGTCTGTTTCGCGTTCTTTACGACGGTATAGAAAGCCCCGCAGTCGGTCCTGTTCTTCGGCAGCGGCGCTGTTATCACTAATGTCGTGTTAGCTTGGGAGAGGCGATGTTGGCATTGTCCGTAGCCATTTCGCACGCTTCTGGATGGATGCACTTTCATCTTCCATATGTCCCTCCACCCTGTCGCCTGTTCTTACATGACAGCTATCACAGTGGACTTGCCGACTTCTAACGCGACACAGTCTAATGCGGTCGCCCGTGTAGCCTCTCCAGTCCTGATGACTGACGCACGGTCGCCGGTAAAGGGAGCTGGTCTTTGTTATGTGGGGGAAGACTTTTGTTTTCGGTCCGCGGCACTACGAAAGACTTGCTCCGCACGTCAGTGGCTCACAGACGACGACTTTTCACGATATGGCGCCCACCACCCGTCAGAGCTATAACCTGTAGCGCCAGCAGATAGCAAGAAGGCTGAACTCGTTGCGTAATACCATTCGAACCAGATAATGGGCGCTAGTGGCTATCATTGCATGCTCGAAGCACGCTCGGTTTTCCCGCTGTGCGACTGTCGCGGCGCTCCCGCTCGGAAGCGATGTCGCTCTCCCTGAGCGGCCGGTTATCTCTGAGCGACCTCCTGTATCGCAGTCACACGAGCAGCGCCACTGAGATCGAACTGAGTGCCATCTCGCCAATCGTCCGTCTTTGCTCGACTCACGTGACGTTGAGTTGGCTCAACCTAAACGGTGGTCGATCTGACTTTGAGGGCAAACATCGTAGAAAACATCGATGAAAAGCATTGCTGAAGCCGCTTGGAAGTAGGCTTTAGCGTTTGCCTTCGTAGGTTCGAGCTACTGGATTAGTTCGCAATGGCTGTGCGCTCGACACTAAGCCGCTCGACAACTTTGTTTGAATCGCAACGCCAAGTTGCTGCCTGAACGAATCCACAGACCACCAGAGGAAGGAGATTTCGCGGGGTTGCACGGTCTCGTGCCCCGGCGCAGACTTCTCTAGCTATTTTGAAACAAAGCGATCTGCTCTGTCCGAATTATCGCAACTCCCGGTGCGCGAGTGCGCACTGAGTAGCTTGTCTGTAACATTTCAGGCCGTTCTAAGAAAAAAAAAAACGCTCATGTATCGCGAATATACCCGCATTCATTATGGGCCCTTGTGCCTGTGTGGATGACACGGTAACACGCAACACGTTCGTCCTGTTCCCATTGACTTGCTCTTCTCCGGATTGTCCAGCCCTGTATTTGGCCGCAATGTATCTCATTAGGTCCGCTCTGTACAGGAGGCCTCCGATGAATGCCTCTGAACCCCGGCTGTCCTCGGTTGCTATGGCCTGTTGTGTGGGCTGCCAGTGCTGGCGCGGACACGAATGGCCCCGTATGCCCCTTGGGTATGATGCCGGGGGTCGGCTGGCCTCAGTAGGTGGCCCGCGTCTGGACGCTGTTGCGAAGTCGCCTGACTGGTTCAGATTTCGACCCGCACGGCCCGCGCGAGTTGTTTGAAAATCGCGCGAATTGACGGGTATGTTTAAGTTGCCTTTTTGCGTGTGCGCAATGCGAAGATGATTGGTTAATCTTGTTTTTGCATGTGATGAAATTCATTTGAAATTCCCGCTTTGTGGGAGGGAGAAGCGATTTGGCCTGTTTGCTTATCGAAGTCTATTGAACTGGTTTTGTCGAATTCAGTCTCAAACAAAATATTTTTGGAATATGTACCCAGTAAATAATGCACCCCGAAATCAGCGACGAATGCAGGATATGCGAAGTTAGTTAGTTGGCGCATATTTGGCACATGCTGATGACTACAGATCATGGCTCTTGCTCTGTGCTCATGTTTTGGGGCGTAACGCGGCCCCTTGCGACCCACATCGGCCTCTGCAACATTTTGACTCAGCGGACCATCATGGCAGCTTTGTGATCAACAAAACTCGCGGTCGAAATTTGACCGTGTTAAAATCTGAGCCTTCGTCCCCGCACTCGTCAGATGCAGATGAAGAATGCTTGTTCTTGAATACGCCCATTTCACCTCGCTTACCCTCCGGTGGTTGTCATTTAAATAACGCGCATTTGGAGGTCGTCCTCTTCAATATTCGTCCTGCTCACGCGGGCTTTATGTCAGTATCGTCGGAGCTCCCATCCTGGAAGCTCAAGCTGCTGATAGCGTCGATTCATCATGGGATCACCATCCTGGTACATCCTCGTCATCCGCCTGTCCAGCATCTGCAATCACGTTCTTCAATAGACACGGTAACTCGCTATGTAGTGGGTGATGTGTAATCAGATTGCGGTCAGACGTCGGGCTTCAGTAGAAGGAAGCAATTTGCTTATGCACGCCTATGGAAAGACCGCGATTTTTTTCTGATATACCCTCCACAGATCCCGCCTGAGACTACCCTGCGCAAGCGAGAATCCAAAGGGGCGTTGGAAACTGGGCCATGTTGGGAAACTGGGAAACTAGACCCTTCCCAAGATAACATGATTTGGGTAAAAAGTGGCATTTTTTACCTTAAGAAAGCCACAGTAACTTCTAGCAAGAATTTGATTTAGAACACTGTTTAGCGCAATCGGATGAAGTTTGGAAAATCAGGGCATTTTTTGGGCTCCGCTTCAAGACTTCGTTGCCCCCCTCCCCCCTCCCCCCGCTAAGGCGGCGTTCTAGATCCGCCCTTGGCTCCGCTTAAGGTGATGTGCCAGTATGCTTGAATATGTCCTACCAAATGCCAGGAATAGTCATTGGGTTCTAAAGGTGTGTCAATTGAAATAGCCGTGGTACCCCAGGAATAGTCTAGTCAGGATTTCAGCGTTATAGCTTAAGCAGTGTGGTGATGACAAACAGGCTTTGAAGGGGGCCGTACGGACCCGTATCTGAAAATAGCCTTTAACGAGCGAAGAGCGATCATCATTCAAGTGGGTTGCATTTGGTGGGCGTGCTCTGATATGTTGATTTTACTGGCACCAACACGGGCTTTGTAGCAGTATCGCTGAAAATCCCATCCCGAAGATGATGATGGGTGAGTTTCTTGGATGACTTTAGCGTATCATGGTTGGAACCCCTTCCTGGGAACCCCGCTGCCGCCTTACTGCAGTGTGCTCTGGCAGCCAGCACGTACTTGAGAAAGACACCTGTTGGTTGGATTTTTGCCGCGGTTCGTGCTGGAAATCACCGGCCCGCGGCCTGTTGAATAATCCGTGCAGTCTGCGCCGCTCCCAATCGAGCTGAGACGCCCGCGGCATTTGTGCCCGTGTCGCGTGGTCGCCGCCGGGCGAGGACAGCTAGGCGCCGGTCCGCGACGGAGCGGGCACGTCCGGCTCGATGGCGGCGCCCCCCCCCCCCCCCCACACACCCAGGAGCCGTCACAAGCGGTGTCTCCGGTTAGCTGGTCTGGCTGCTTCGCCTTGTGTTGTGCTGTCTGCTCTTAGCTCGCGATTCGTATTACACATGAACTTGTATTTTTATAGATGATAATATGATTTCAATACTTCTATTTCTTCACTCTGCGTAGGCTTTCGTTCCAGTTAGAGTTTTCTTCTTCTTCTTGGTTGTGAGTGTGTGCGGTTGGCGATACTTACCTGCGCGCTGCATCCAGGTAACCGGACAGTTCAGTTTCTGTCCTCGAAGCTGTTGACCGTTGTGCCGTTGTCGTGCCAGCTTGACGTCTTCGTGCGGATCACTGCAGCTCGTGACGCGCGGTGTTAACAGAATTGCCCTCGGTCTTTGAGATGAGACCGGAGCTCCCCCGGTCACGGTCAATCCCGTCAGCGATGTCAGTCATGTCCGGAGCGCGGAAGGCCCCTGGCAGTCCATGCAGAACCATCAGCCATCGCCATCACTAACGGGGCATTAAGTAATGGAACGAGACGCGAGGGAATGTCTGGACACGGCCCTAAGCGTCCTTACCGAGTTGGGAGCTCTGGGACCGAACACATAGAATTAAGAGGCCCACGAGATGCACTGCGGTCATGCTAGAGTGTCCCGGGCCCGCTGAGCAGCCATGAGCGGGTTTTGGGGTTTCGAGGCGGCCAGGGGCTTAACATTTGTTTGTAGTGGACATGCGAAGGACAGTCGATTGCCCCTGTGATCCTTCTTGACTATTCTGACGACTGAGAGCAATAGCTGACGTTTGCAAACACTTGGGCGGGCCGGGGCTGCCTTGGTTTGAACTACAATGTCCACTTAATGCGCTCCCTGATACCAGCACTCACCACTCAGAACAATCGGAATCCATGGACAAAGATCCCGTACGAGTGGCGCACTGTGGTCTCTCGAGCGAAGTGCTCATATGTCTGGCTCGATTAGTGTCAACCGTTGCGCATTTGAAGTCCGGTGTCATGACTTCGTACGACTGGGGAAGCTCCCCGGATAGCATGGGCGGCAAAAATGACCCATCAACATTCAGCAGAACTGCTGAGTTGTGTCCTCCCGTCGCCAGCTTTCGAGCCGTCGACAAGCGCAGCGATTCGGAGGAGCACGTGGCGCGAATTTGTCGGCGCAGACCGCGGGTGTCGCCGGACTTCAGCCGTGCGCCCCCCGTGCTCGTCCGTCCGGCCTGCTCTGGCCTTGCCAGTTGCCTGACGGCGGATCGTGCGTCGGCCGCCGCCGCAGCGGCAGCCGAGCGCGATAGGACTCGGGAGCGGGGCCGCGCGTCCTGTCCCGACGGCCAATTCCGCCTAAGCCGCGCGGCACCAGTGGCCGCAGTGTTCGGCCGGTCGGCCAGCGTGCGTCACCTTACCGCAAGGAGGGGCTCACTGGAGCGCAGCGTTCCAAAAGTCATTGAGTGGGGTGTGCGGGATGTAAATATAAATTCATGCTACCAGAATCCTTACTATCCGGTGGCGGCCCCGCACGCAATTCGTTGACGCTAATCCGTTTCCCTTTGACCCCGACCCAGACATCTGACCTCTTAGTGCATTGGTCAAGCCTGAGGCGCATAGATGCTGGTTTAACAGTCGTGCGGTCCGATGCTGATTGGCTGATTTTGAACAAGGGGAAGGGCAACCGGCAGTGAGCCACAAGCCGGGGTGTAATAGCATGAAAAATATCGACGTACATGCCACCCAAGTGACCGAATATTGAAACACTGCCGGGGCGGTGCGGAGTAGAGATACAACTTTTAGAGTGCGTTCGCAGCACACAAAGAATGTTTTTAGCACATGACGTCACGTATAATTTTTGCCGAACTTGTTCGTAGCTCTACCCGTTTTCTTTGTGCATATTTGTGACTGTCTTGACAATAACTGCGCATTCAGACTGGAGATTTTCGTTTGCAGGTACTTAGAGTGCTCCTAACAATGGTATCTGCAAATTACGCTCTTTGTAATGTGTAAAGCACCTTTTTATCACGCGTAGCGCGTCTCGGGCACGCATACTTAGCCCGTCCTAATTGAATCTATTACCATATTTCTGTCTCATTCTGATGGAATCAGGAGTCGCGGAAGAGGCCTCTGCGTGTCCAGCACAGATTCTACGTGACTTAAAGCGTAGCCGGTGTCGTGGGGGGCGCTGCGAGCACCAAATAGCGCAGAATTGTGGGGTATGACGTCATGAGTGTCGTCATCGTTAGCGGCATGGAGTCTGTCGTCCGGGTCACTGCGAATACACCTTTTGGCCTTCCAGCACCGGACACTAATTCGTCAACTGTGTAATGGTGATAGGTCGAATATGCCATCGATGTTATAGTCTGCTATGGATCAAACACTACATCAATGTTATGCTATGCTATGGGTCAACATTATGTCAGTGCTATGCCATGCCATGTGTCAAACATGTTATCGCTGTTGGTCAAATTGTTGGTATGGGTCAAACATGCCATGTTTTGCCATGCTATCGGGTGAGACGTGCTATAAATGTTATGCTATGTTATCGGTCAGACATGGTATAAATGATAGGCTTGTTGGAACCATTGTGCTAGGTATCTTTGAGGGGACTTGGGATTACCGGATAAGCCTGCTCTTTAATTTTTCCAAAGACGCTTAGCCCCTATTTCCTTCACTTCTTTCTCATAGGTCCTGGGTTTTACTCCGTTTTGCACCCATCGTTCCAGTCGTGAAAAGGAAGAATGGAACATG